AAAAACAAATATGGAACAAGATCAATAAACATTAATATACAAAAAGAAGACACAAAGAAGCCCAAAACCAACAAAAAATAATACTGCAAACAGCCAATTTCCACCTAGACATTTAAATTCAAGACTTCAGAATCCAAATTCCAATCCCATAGAGCAAACAGAAAAAAAGGAAACCCGACACGTTCATGGCAAATCAACAAAATGGACATTCTCAGGTCAACGACCAGTTTCAACGAATTAAACCAGTGAATAACTCCAGATACAAAATGGGAATGGTAATCCCTTAAATAAATGAAATAAAGATGAAAAAAAAAAGCTATAAATTGAGATAAGAGAGATATGATTAGGGTTACCTTTTCGATGGGCAGGGTAAGACAGGCAACAGTGATGGTGCATAAGAGGAGGAGGAGCAGGAGGAGGCGGAGGACATTAATAGGGGTGAAGGCCATGGTGGTGACGAGCCTGAGCCTTCGACGCCAAGGCCTGCAATCCTCCTCGTCGCCCCCCTCTTCAACTGCTTGCCTCCACGATGACCGTGCCCTAAGCCCCCCAAGGTTTGCCAGATTTATCACCACCGCCACCCCACACTTCTCTCTCTGGAATCCTTCCCCCTCTCCCTATGCCATGACCTTCACTTCCCCTCTCTTTTCGCCCACCTGAAATGCGCTATTTACCACGCTTCTTTCTCTCTCGCGCAATGCCGATATAACCTCAAAGCTTTACTTTCATCTCTCTCTCTCCTCTTTCTCTCTCTATCTGACCTTTCCTAATACTTCCCGCGCGCCAATCCAACTTTCTCTCTCTATTCTCGACCCACTTTATCCTCTCTCTCCTCTTTCTCCCTCTAACCGATGTTTGTCGCTTTATATATCCCTCCACGATTCATTTAATGACCATCGTACCCCTAATGGTGGTAATTTTCAATGTTGTTGGGGACAAGTTTTTAAACTTTTGGACCGGTGGTTCAAACCGGTTCCGCATTGGTCCGGTGACGGCGTGAAAACTAGGCGATTTGAATCAAGAATTTCTCGTGGAATTAGTCGGGACCAAACTAGGTTAGGGAATAAATGGGTGCAGGTCGGTTGGACCCATAACCTCCACCCGCCTTCATATTTTTTTTAGCTTATGTAATATTTTTTTAGATATTTTACTCCTCTTTTACTTTTTATTTACTTTTTCCAATTCGCCAATTTAGACCTTTCGAATTGGTAAAAGCGATTGAGCACATATATGTAGATTGTAAACCATTGGATGAGCAAAAACTCTAAAAAAAATAATTTCGAAAGTTGTGATATTTTTTAAGGTAAAATTGTGTACAAGTGGTCACGATAATCTTGATCGTTGGATGTGAAATTGAGTGGCTGCAATTATTCTGTTGACCAAAATCAAACTTCAAAATAAATTTTTTTAAACTTTATGATACATCCAAACTATTAAGTTTCATGTATCAAAAGTAAGTAACCTCACTGTATACAATCTCATATTTTAATATATGAGATTTCACATTCGATGGCTTAAAAAAATTGTAATCATTTTGTTAAAAAAATAAATGATCCCATAATATACCATCCCTCGTAAAATATCTCACACCAAAAGCAACTTTTGATCCAAAACAATTTTGGGGGCAAAAAGTGATTGATTTTTGTACCTTTCAATAAAAACTCAGACGGACATGGATTTATTCGTTGAAAGTACAAAAATATCGAAAAAACAAATTTGCCCTTTCTCACTTGAAAAGGGTTATAGGGTGTTGTCTCATTGGGTGAGAAATAGAGAAGTACCCCGATCGACTCGAACAATTCCCGTACGATCAACGGCATTTCAAAATTACAACTTTATAGCATGATTTATTTTTTATTTTTTTTGGTTGTTTTAATGATAATTCAACGATAAAAGAATTATCCTTTTGCAGGATTGGAACTCAATACATCATATTATAGTGCCCCACCACCCTAACCACCAAGGGTTGGGTACATCCTTAGAATGTAGGTCAGCTTTGTTTAGTATTTTGGGGTAAACTTTGAGGGTTTGATCCCTGACCTCCCTCACCCAAACTAATTGGATATAAAGAAAAAAAAAATGAATCTAAGTTCTACAAATAGTGTATCTCGTAATTAGTTGGGCCGTCTATTTTTTAGCTTTTCAAAACTATTGATATGTTTGATTTGCATTATCTTTGAAATTTTAAATTTCATAATTATAACCATTGTAAGATATTACACAAACTTTGGAGTGTGACTTAGTTGCGATGTATAAGGCAAGCACCTTACACAAACCCCACCCCCAACAAATAAATGAAGTGCGAAGATGTTTAATAATGAGCTTTTCCACTACTAACCGTTAAAAATTTGTAAATAATGTACGATAGGTAAGTGATTTCATGCGACGGTTGTATTGTAGTATAATGCAATCATACTTCTAAAAAATAATGTTTTTGGTATTTGTATGACCCAAATTTTGCATACACTCTCTCTTCATCTCAATACTCAATCTAAAAAAGAAAACTAATTTGCATCCTATATAAGATCAAAACGGATGGCCTATATTAATTGGGCTAAAAAAATACTTTCTAGGTTGTGTTTTCAAAATTTCCTTTTTTAATGAACAGAGTATATATTTTAAATTTTGGATCAAATAAATATTTCTATCATGTTTTTTGAAGGTTGTTGCATTATATTACTATACAACCGTTACATGAAATCACTGCCCGCAAACGAAATATTATAAAAAAAATAAAAATACAATATATTGTTTTTACATGAAATCCACCCAAAGATATACTATTGTGCAAAAAAGGCATTTGAATGCTAATGTATGGTATATATGTAATAATGAAACCAAAAAAACAAAACCATAATTTTAGGGAATTTTGGTAGATATATTTTAAATTTTGCAATATTAATAAAGTCTCTTACATTTTCCATATTTTACACTCACTTTCATGTTTCAAATATTTTTCTTTAGTTTTCCATTAATATGTTATTTTTATAAAGGAAAGATATATATTTTTCTTTAGTTTTCCATTAATATGTTATTTTTCTAAAAAAAAGATATATAAAGAGACGATTTACTTTTAATAGAATGAGATCACAATACTCATGTCTGTGGATAGAAGTATTTGCGACATCCTCGTAACAAACATAAACAACTTCAAAGTATATTTATGAAATATGATATTTCATAAAAATTTAAAAAACTCGAATCAGGATATCAGCTAATAATATGAAAAGCAGAACACATTTTTTAAAAGCCAAAAAAAATAAGAGATATTTACGATAAATTACCAAGAACCAATTTTTAAAAAAACGCCGAGTCGAACAGGACTCGCTCGGTTCGACTCGGGAATCGTCATGGACGGATCAAATCGGCGAAAAAAACGAGAATCATCCGGTTCTAGAGAGAACCGGACAATTCTGTACAGTGACTCGCCGATTTCACTGTACGGGAATCGGCAAGTCCGTACAGTGAATCGGCGAGTCCCGTATGGAATTTTTTTTTTTTTTTTTTTGTGTAATCCATGATAGATTTTTTGAATAATTGATTCGATTTTTTTGAATCCATGATCGTAATTGTTTTTTTTTTTTGCAATCCATGATCGTAATTTTTTGTTTTTTTTTTTTTTGTT